TTGGGAGCGCGGGCACGCCACACACCCCCGGCACTAATCACTTATGTCTGGTCGCTTCATCACATGAGCTAGCAGTACCCGGAAGCGGTCTCTGTCTCTCTCCATCCTCGTACATAATATACATGTATCATGTAATATAATATACATGTATCATGTAATATAATATACATGTATCATGTAATATAATATACATGTATCATGTAACAGGCGCCAGTTTTGCTTCTGCGTGGATCAAGCACGCCTACCTTCTGAATGGACAGACTCCTCGTCAAAGTTGAGCAGTTTCATCCAATTATCGTCTTTGGTCACTGAATAAAATATGCACAATCATTTTTTCCTTTACATCAGTCACACAAGAGAATGCTGAGGGCAGCTTTCTCTCTCATGGAAATGTTCCCACAGCCGCTTCTACACTCTCATTCACTCTCCAAATGATAGAGACACTGATGCACTATTGGGAAGGTGGTTCCAAACATTTGTACGGGGGGGGGGGGGGGAATTATTCAAGAAAAAATTTCACAGGAGTTTTTTATAATAGATAGCATTTGCACGCGCAAATCCTCACTCAACAGCAAGCTCTATGCGCTTCACAATCTATACTATTACCCCAGCAGACCTGAGAGCATTCGGAAACAATCTCAACTTCCTGGGAAGCATACAGTGCAAGCAGCCATTTATAGGCGCCAAAACAAAACCTCAAGGCTCATAATAAAAACAAAAGGCGTGTGACCGGGGTAGTGAAGGGTTGGGAGGTAGTGGACCACAATAACATGTGTGTCGTCTTTTCACCAGCTCCGTCTTCTGCTTTTGAACAACATGACAAAATATCACTAAGCAGTCGGAAACAGTGGAGTCTTTGTACATGTACATAGCCAGCAAAACTTTGTCACACACACCCCCCACGCTGTCTACATTTTTACACACGAGCGCATGCACGTACAAATATCTTTCTACACACGCACTCACGCAAATAAACACACACATGTAAATCCCCGCTCAACAGCAAGCTCTATGCGCTTCACAATCCGTACTATTACCCCAGCAGACCTGAGAGCATTCTGAAACAATCTCAACACGTAGGCGAGAGTGCACGCACGACACATGCACACAGGGTATGTACAATCACAGAGAAGATATCCCAGAAACACTCCAACACACACTCTCCTGTGAGTTCCTCTCCACACACACATTCCTGTGAGTTCCTCTCCACACACACATTCCTGTGAGTTCCTCTCCACACTTTCAGTGTACGGGGACGGCCTTCATTCAGCACTATGGGTGGTTGTTGTTCCAGTCACTGGAGGTTGGGGG